ACTTGCTTCTTATCTCTATCAACGGAATTCTACTATAAGGTTGAATCATTGTGAAATAGAGAAAAATTTGAGTACAACCTGCATCAGTACAATAAAAAAAGCATAAAATTTCTTAAGAAAATATCTATACGACTATAATGAAAACACATAAAAAAAGAAAAGTTTTCAAAAAAAAAAAATCATCATTAAAACTATTAATATGAATAAACAAAATTAATAAAAGTTTTTAATCTTTAATAAACATATACGTATTATTATATTTTGCGTAAAGTATATAATTAAAAAAATATATACAATTGACCATGTGCTAAACTTTTTTTTCATAATCGCACCAGCTTTCAAACTCTACTTTTTCTTATTTTTTTCTAATTTTAATAAATGAGGGTTTTGATAAGCTCTTTGATATTCTTGAACCAATTTAGTCTCTTTTTCAACTAATTCTTTATTAACTGTCCTTTCAATAAATTCACTGATTTCTCTCTTTCTAATATTGCTTTTCAGTCAGCTATAAAATTCAGCACTAACTTTGATTAGTACATATCTAAATTTGTGCTTTTGTTAGTTATTATTGACTTGTTGAATTTGGGCTACTTGTAAATCAAACTTCAAAAATTTTCTGGAGCCAACCTGGTACACATTTTCAAGTTGCATCTGATTAGCCAGCCCACAAAATATTGTTAAATAAATAATGCATCAAAAAGAGCATTTACACTCAGATGGCATATTCATTATAATTACAATCAAACATCACATCATAGTAAGCATATCATTTCTAAATAAGGTAAACCTAAAGTTTATAGAGTTACATATATACAAATATACAACGTATATTGTTACACAACAAAGTTTCACAATTAAACTTTGCTTGTATAACTATTATACTTTATATACTTTTCATATAACATTTTAATAGTTTATATGAAGTTTAATAGTTAGGGATTTTACTAAATTAGAAAATCACATTCTAGAATGATCTTCATGTCAATCTATTAATATGATTAGCTATGTAATATTTTTTTCACTGTGGGATCATTTGATATTTTATTTTTTTATTAGATATTAAATGATATTCAATTAGCTAATATAAGATGTCTACTTTAAATTATTTTATTTGATCTCTCGCAATAAGCTATTATAAAAAAAGACAAATAATAACTAACTTCTTTTAATTAATAAATAAATTTTGTTGTGGTTAAATTTGATTGGTCAATTGCACATAATTTTTGTACAACTTAATAATTTAGAATTATGTGATCAATATTTCTTTATTATACAAGGTTCGATTTATACTATCCATATTTGGCAAAATCTCTGACTATATAAAGTATACTTTAATTAGTCTTTAAATAGTCAATAGCTTATTTTAGAGTTTATTCATAGATATATATAGAACATTATGTATTTTAGTTCTAGAGTTGGTTATTAGATTTTTAGTTAGTCTTTTGAATATTCATTTGGAAGGATTATTTGTTTTAGTGTATTTAGGTTGGTTAGTTAGATAAAGATATTAGTTATTTTAATATCTGGAATACAATAAAGAGATACTTTAAGATATCTTGTGTGTGTGAATACATAATTGGTTTCTTCTATTAATACTTACAACCCTAAGCTAAATTGGCTCTGCCAATACAAGTCTCTTCTACTGATTATAATATTTATGATGCTGATTATATAGATTGAACTCAAAGAAATAGAAAATAAAAGTTTGTGTTAGAAAATTAACATTAATTATAAAAAGAAACAAAAGCCGGGTCAGCTTGTGTTAAGAAAATAAAAAGTGAGCAGAAAATAAATTTGTATTGTGTTAAATTAAACTTGACTAAGAGGAACAAAATACAGATCTGGTTTGTATTAAGTCTTAAAGATAATAAAGAATCAGAAAATATATTAATAACTGTCGTGGCTGAAGCTGGAAATGGCTGAAGCTGGAAATTTTAAATATTTTAATATGAAATTTACAAAAAA